ACACCTTGTTTAGACACAGCTTCAATTCAATGTAATGCATTCTGCAGTTTCAATAAGGTGGTATTCATCTTAATGATGCAAAAATCTTGGAAATATCTAAATTTGCATAAAGCAATCCTGCTAATTTATTCACCATAGCAGCAATTTAAAAAAGGCCATATATAGTATAATATTGTCTCTAGTTTACATCATCGTATCGCCCGATCCTTTCTGTTGCCTGTCAATTCCATTCAACTGGAATTCTGCCTTTTCCCCTTTACACTCCACTCTGTGCAAAATACATATATTTGCAATGCTGCATGCCATAAGCTATAAAATAATGATGCCAGACAAGATAGTAGAACACATATTGCATCTTTTGCAGAATATATTCCAGGTTCACAGCCCTCCTCCTTTGGCTTCATCAGCAAAAAAATAAAAAAAATAAAAAGCAGAGAAGAAGAATGAATTCATGTTGCGGCCTCGGGAACATTTCACAGCAGTGTTACAGAGCATGCTTTCACAAACTCACATTGCTTAGTCACTAATTTTTCTCCGCTGTTGCTGCTGTAACTCCTTGTTAAATTCACCTCACCTCAGTAGAGCACTGTCTGAGACTGCAGGAAACAAACAGGCCCGTTAAAAATTGTTGAAAATATTGAGTGTATTTGTTGCCTCTGGGAGAATGTCGAGAGTCTCTTTTGCTGTGGGCGTCTGGACTTCTTTGTTCAGGAGATAGAAACAGTAGTTCAGTGGTGTCTGCATTGACCCGCCCCAGTCCTCCACTATCTCCTGTTTGACATCCGCAGAAAGCTGATGCTGTGAAATCGAATGCAGTGGCTGAGCTCTCAGCAGGAGCCCAAAACATTAGCTATTAGCTGCAGGTGACAGGAGCTCCTTCTCCCTCTTTGCCCGACTGAATTGATGTGCATCTTTGTTACTTTGCCTGTCTCTTATTTCCTTTTATCTTCCTGCCTGTTTTTTTTTTTTTTTTTAAGTGTTCCACCCACTGCAGTGTCATCAGTGCAGGAAATGTTGGCTGCATTTTCGGCTAAGGTCTTATTCAATTTGAGTTGTTTACATGCCCTGTTGATTCCCTGCGATTGAGTTTTCCTGTTTCCATGAATAAAACAGGAGACAAAGACACAGTTTTTTGTTGACCAATGGTGTAATCACTGCTGGTTAAGCAGTCCACCGGGGGAAAAAAAATCAACTTTGAAAGGGTTCAACGTACGTCGTTGGGATGTCAGGAAGAGGGCATAAAGGAGAGGGGAGGTCATGATGCTGGGACGAGTCACTTACTTATGTGACAACATGGATCTTTTCTCCAAGATGTTACATTATTTAATGCATTAAAAAAATGTTTTAAAAAGCAAATATATGTCAACTGAGAAGAAGTGAGAAGAACAACTGGGTTTACTGGGAAACGAATGTTCCAGAAGCCGTGCAGTGAACGTCTTCTTCAAGTAAACAATTTGACTTGGTCAGGAACTTAACATGAGAAGTGAAATTATGTGTAAATAGGGCCCAACCAATATGGGTTTTGGGGCCGATACTGATATCAGTATTGGGGAGAAAAAAAATCCAATACCGATATATCGGCCGATATCTTTCTATGTTCAAGCTGTAGAGGTAGATAGAGAGAGATATACACATTTATTGGGTTGATCCCTCAAATGCAGTTATTAAACACTTGTGGAAAATATTTACATTACAGTGTTTCCCCTACCATTATATTAGGGGGGCAGCCATTTAAGGATACCTTTCCGATAGAACAGGACAGCTGTCATTAAAAGTAACACTTAAAGTGTTTGTGTCGGCGTCAGTCTGCCCGCACCCCCCACCCCCCCAAAGCTGTAAACCTCGGGGAACACTGCATTGTTAGGAAGACAAGATGGCCTCTCAACTGAAGAGTAAAATAGTATATGCATGCAAACACAGTAACATTTAGCATACACCATGCCCACCCTGCCTCGGCAACATGGCCGCCCAAAGAAACAACATTCTCCTGAAAAAAGGTGGGAAATCATTTCTATTGCTGGAGCCAGCAGACGCTGTGTGTTTGACAGTTACTTTGCTCAGAGTCAGCGTGATAATCAGACAATTAGGAGACTGATTGAAGAGAGCCCCGGGTGGTGAAAGTAAAAACCCCCTGGAAAAAGATATTCTTACTCTGACTCGCTCAGGTACAATAATTGTCTCTCACACTCTTTAGATTTGTCGGTAAATTAGCTCTGTTGTGGTTAAACCGTGATGTTGTTGAACTGGAGAAAAAAAATGCTCTGAAGAATTAAAAACCTGAAAAATCTACTGACAGGAACTACTCCATCAGTATTCTGTGCCAGCCATGGGTGTCATTCCCTGAGTTAGGAGGAGCAGGATTTGGGGCGTCGCTCTACCTATGCAGATGAGAATCTTCCCCCAGATTACACGTCGAATGTGTGGCTGAGTATTTATCCTCCGCTGCTTTAATCCGAGCTGATGTGGAACAGACTTTGTGTTCCCTTACACTGCCTGGGCTGGCAGTAGGTATTACCCCTAACAACCAGTGCACTTAGTGAACATCAGCAACAACTGCAGTTGAGCTGCGTAATTTGCATGTGGAGATATATGAAACATGAGGATTAGTCACGGGGTTCTAAGCACATCTTAATCCGTGTGTATGTTAAAATATTTATATTTATATTTATATTTAAAAAAAAAAAAGAATTCAGTGGTTATCCTTCAACGTGTTTGACAGTCGTAAGTTGCATTAATGTCTCGTTTCAGCATTTTTCTCTCATGTTGTCAAATGCATTGTGGGAGATATAGAGTGTTGCCGGCTTTGAAGTGTGTCAGCTCCTAGATCCTATTAAGTATCAAATATCTGTGTTTGTCCTCCTGATAATCCTCACCAAGCGTCTGTTCTACTGCAGCACTTTGAGCGTCACACCAACGCCGCTGCTTCAAGTCAAGTCTTTCAGATCGTGGGGTTTATTATAATAACTTTTATTCTTTTGAAATATGCCCCAAAGTTCTGCGTTTGTTTGAAAGTGTTTGCTCAGATTTCACTGTGTGTGTTTCTATACCTTTAAGTTATTGTGATGTTTTTTTAGTTTACTTTTTTACAGTTTCAACATTCTGCACACTAAATGATGATCAAATGGTCATGGAAATAATCTGTAGAGGAATCTAAAACCAAAAAGAATCATTTGCTCGACTGGTTTTTATTCATGACCTCGTCCTCTTCCAATCATCATACCTAAATACCGTGAACTGTTTCGCCTTGCTCTTTTCTCGACTCGTTAACAAGGTTGTCAAATTCATTTTGGTATGTAACAATAAAAACAAAAACAAATAAAACATTACAATATTTTTTAAGAGATCAGAAAAGTAGCAAAGCTTTTAAAATATGACAGTTCTTCAGTATTTTTAACCATAAGCTTTGGCGAGCAAAAGCGAGACAGAGAGAGATGTTATGGAGTCTAAGTGTGTATGAAGGGCCAAGTGGCCATGACAGAGAATATGAGGCCAACGCACAACTATACACATGAAAACTTTTGTTTAAATTTAGGCAAGAAGTTAAAATATTGAAATTATGACTATGTTGTTGATTTTTTTTAAGATTTAGTTTTGGGCTTTTTGTACCTTTAATGGAGAGATAGGACAGTGGATAGAGTTGTAAATCATGGAGAGAGAGTAGGGAATGACATGCAGGAAAGGAGCCACAGGCGTTATCGAACCCGGGCCGCCCACTTGGAGGACTACAGCCTCCATACATGGGGCGCACACTCTAACCACTGCGCCACCAGCGTCCAGACTATGTTTTTTAATTTATCAAAGAAAGGTTTTTTTTTTCAATCTTTTTTTCCAAACATCTTGAGATTTATTTGCAAACCCTTAGGTGGATTCAAGATTAAAGGACCTTGGGCTGAACAGACGACCTCGTAATGTCAGCAAAAGCTTTTCTTTCTTTTTTTGAAATTTTATTTGCAATTTGAGAATTGTTTGTCTTCCACATATCTCACTGTACAACCTCAAACAACTTACAATCATGAGTATCCGTAGCAGTTGCACCACACTGAAGGGCATCTCAGAAGAGCAAGGTCAAACGATGCAAAAAAGCCTCTATTTGAGGAGAAAAAAAAAAAAAAGGTTTAGATGTACGCAAGGAGGACTGATTTCATGCTCCAGCAGCACTTACATAACATATCTAACTTTAAAAATCCACTCCAAGACTAGAACATTCTCCATAATACCTCCTCAGACACGCTGAGATGCACATGCAGAAGGTAATGCATATTCCAGACACGGCAACGGCTGCTTCACTTGGATGCTCAGTTACATAGAAATCAAACAATGCTCGCAGTCACTTTCATACTCGTTCAATGCATCTTCAATATATACGTCTGATTCAGAGAAACAGTCTTTTTCTGTCTTTTCCATTCCACTGCCTCTAAATCATCCTCCGCCTTATACGTCTGAGTGGCTTGATGTCTGTCCTTATCATAGTAAACTGTGTCTCTTCCTTCCATTGCTTATTATTCACCACGCCGAGGCACACACTAAGCCTCGCAGTATGCCCCGGTCGTGTTTAAACAGCCAAATCAAACCTTTCCCTTATATTTTTTTAATAAAGTCAACTCAGGCTTTGAGTCACGGGGGGGGGGGGGGCGGCTGTGCTCTGGAAAGACAGCTCTGACCTCACAGGGCAGTATCAGTCACCAAGCAGCGCTCTGACCTTATAGGCACGGACGACCTTTTGATAGCCCCGCAACTCCTCGAGTCGAAACATGTTTGGATCATCTTCGCAAAGTGCAGAAATGGCATGAATGCCGAGTCCCAGAATGTTTGATGCCTCTTTGTACCTTATCACAGTCGGCCCAGTTTAAAGTGCACGTCCTCATCTGTGAGGGTTTATGAGTTGCAATTTTAATTGGAGGGGAATTAGCAGACATTTAGCGCCTAATATCCATCAAATTAATCTCTAACTCTGTGTTTCTCTTTCCCCCTTCTCTCTCTCTCTCTCTTTTCCCTCACAGGAAATCCAGAATGGCTTCCGGGATTGACCTCCGCTCTTGGTAGAAGAACCCAGAAGTTCACGTCCGTTTGCACGTCGTCTCACAGCTTTGGGAATTTCATGATGTAAATTTATCTTGCTCCTTTTTTTTTGCTTTTGGTAAACCTCCGGCTTCGGCGCCATGAACCTTAGAGGATCTACTGGGACCGCTATTTGCTCAGCTTGGATTTAGATTCCGCTTCTGTTTGGACTACTTTACGTGGGTGGGACTTGCAGCGGTGGCTAGTGGTGGCGGCTGTGGCGGTGGGAGGACCTTCCCACCTTGGAACACGGGGATAACTTTACAAAAGCTCGCTCCACCATGAGGATATCCACCGCCTCCTGCCTCTGTCCCGTTCTGGTCTGCCTCTGCTTCATCCAGAGGTGTTACGGGGCGAGCCACCACCTCCCTGCCAAAGTGCCCTCCAAGAACCAGACCAGACTGGCCAACGGGGAGACGGAGGTGCACCACAGGCCCAAACGAGGCTGGATCTGGAACCAGTTCTTTGTTTTAGAAGAACACATGGGACCGGACGCACAGTATGTGGGAAAGGTAAGACTTTTTTATGAGCCGACTGCTGAAAAAGAAATCTTTTGATCCTAGGGAACTCGCATTTGAACAGCTTACTGAGCAGTTTTGTCTCTTCTTTTGTTTTATTTGAGAAATAGGTTACAGCAGGAGCAAGTTGTTCTATTGAGGTAGATTGCCTCGTCGGCATTATACAGGCTTTTTTTTTGTCTTCTGATGTGCAAATACAGTCCTAATTTGTGCAGGTCTTTATATCTGTCATTGCAATGTCTGAATGTATTCCTCTTATGATAATGTCCAAAAAATGTTTTATTCGCTGTAATTAAGGAGTGCCTCATACCATGTCTACTACCCCAGGAAAGCCGACACTGCAGAAAAACCCTGACCACAAAGCTATCTTTTAACAGAAATATTAGAAGTGGTCTCTCAGTTGGAAACAGATACAGATTGAATCTCTTAGTGATAAAACTGTAGCCAGTATAAAAATGGACATAGCCACCGAAACAACATCCATTGGTTTTTCTGACTAAAGTGCCTAGTACCGAGCAGAATCCTTGAGTTTTGGCATTTTTGGCCTTTTTTTGGACGAGGTCATTGGCTGATTTCTAGTGACAGTTAACATTGTGTTTACTATAGGATGGGTTTCAATGTGAAGTGGTAGCCAAAGTTGTTTATTTATAAGACTTAAGAGGCTAATAGAACATTTGGAGTGGCATGAAGTGGCCCCTAAATGGCAAGTGCAGAAAACCAATAGCAGCTATAAATACAAACGTAAAAAATCAAATAGTTAAAGGTTTTGCAATGTAAAAAAAAAAATGGACCACGGACTTCTTGGATGGTCTTTAAGTAAAATATAGTGCACAGCAAGCCATATTATCCATCCTGTATTTCAAAAGAAAATGTATAAAATGGTACTAACAACAGAAACATAGCCAAGAGGCTGTGTTCAGTAACTGAAGTAAATAAGTGAACCGCCAGCAGAAAGCTAGAAGCATCGTCCCGTCACTTAAAGGGAAAAGCAGTTGCTGGGAAGAGAAACTTGTCGTAAAAGTAGACTGTCTATGAAAAGGTGAATAAAAAAAAATACCAGTGCAACATAACCAGAGAAATTCATTCCCGTCTTCCCAATACATCACCACCCACAATGCACTGGGCTTCTTGCCTTCCAAAGCCACTCCCAGGCTTAGGTTCAGGCTTGACGGGGAAATTCTCTGCAGCATAACGACTCCACTTCAGTTTTCATCAGTGCACAATTACTGCAGCTGCACCAACAGCTGCCACCCCCCCCCCCAAAAAAAAAAAAAAAAAAGACTGACTCCAACATTACATATTAAAATAGTTTTCCTACGGATCCACAGTTACACTGCTTTCTGCCATGCTCTCCCAACGTGTGTTTTCACCAGCTGATCTCAGACATTATGATTTCATGCGGGCTCCGCCCCTTTGCGACTCTCCATGAACAAACTCCACCTGTGGGCTTTAACATGAACATGAACAGGGAGCTAGCCTTGCAGTGAGGGAGTGAAACATTGTCCATTTACATTATGATATCTAGATTATGATGATATGCCGCTGGTTGAAAGTTTGGCTTTATTAGGGATTGACTTGCTTTTTGGAGCCAGCTTCCAGTGGCCACATGAAGAACTGCAGCTTTTGGCACTTTAATGTTGGCTACATTTTTTCTGACCTAGAGATTGTTGCTTGTGAGAAACAAACCCCCTGAGTAAAACAAATGTCTATACACAAGTGGTATATATAATGGAAGGGTGCATCATAGTTGTACAGTTTTATGAATGTAATTTCAGGGTCATTGCAGACCGACTGATGTCCCTCGAAGTGGATAATAGATAGTTGTGAGTATTATTCCTGTTTGTGCATAGAGCACGGTGTAGCCTAGTTGTTGGTGGTGACTTTTTCTGTTAGCTCCACAATAAGCCACAGGGAGCTGGTTAAGTCCTCTGCTTGCAGATTGCCTGCCCTTATCTCCTGAAATGTGTTTCTCCGCTGCAGTGATCATTATTCCAGGCACTCAGGCACAGACTAATCCCCTCAACCGCACTCAGAGACAGAGAATGAGAAAGGCACAACGCTCCTCTGACTGCACATATGTCTGTATTTCAGCAACAGCAGCATTTGAAGGGGAAACGGGGGAAAAAAAAAGGGATGACATGCTCGAGAAAGGAGTAAGAGGGGAAACAACAACAACAAAGCAGATATCACGTTCCAACTTAAAGGTCTTTTTTATTGAGTAAAAATGCGGCTATAATCACCAGTGCCCTTGCTAAGCTGACAACACAGGAAAGAAAGGTTATTTATTGGTGAAACGTGTTTTTGCTAATATTATTTGACGCATGAGTGAAGCATAAAATCCCACTGTGCCAAACAAAACAAACACCGTGCTCTGAATTTGAGACAATACCGAGGATATTTGTAACAAACTCCAAGTATCATTTTTTTCAGAAGTAGCTGCACAGGAAATCTTACATTGAATTTGTTGACTGCTTTGAAGTTCATTATTGTTTGGTTGGTTGGCTGGCTGATGTGTTAGCTCTACTTCTACCTTAAGGGTGTTGTTGCTCTGTGTGTGTGTGTGTGTGTGTGTGTGTGTGTGTGTGTGTGTGTGTGTGTGTGTGTGTGTGTGTGTGTGTGTGTGTGTGTGTGTGTGTGTGTGTGTGTGTGTGTGTGTGTGTGTGTGTGTGTGTGAGACGGGTGCTGCTGATGAAAGCCAAATAAACATAAACAGCTAATCCTGGATGATAATAAAGCACTGGGAAGACACATAAACATTATTAAGGAATCAATTTGACATGCATGTCTAAAGAGATGAGGTCTCCAGATGGTTAGCACAGGAAAAAAAAAAAACATTTAATTATGTGGGTTGGGACTGGTGTGCAGTGTCCTAATGTGGCTAGCAGACAGAATGACCCTTAATTAGAGGAAGACAGGAGGGGACGAGGAGGAGGAGGAGAAGGAGGAGGATTAATGTACTCAGCACGTACTGCTCTGTATTGTTTTTCTCCTTCCTTTTGCTTGATTAAAAACCGTGGACATTAGCAAGCAGCCAATGAACAGTTCCACTGCTGGGAATTGCGAACACTTTCTTTGACGGTAATTGCTATCATCAAAAAATGGAAAGTTTTGAAACAGACGTTCCTTGATGAGACACACAGATATGGAATATTAATCATCGCACGGCCCACATAATAAATCCCATGTGCTCAAGGAAATCCGCAATGTCAAAATATAAGCATGCCACAAACAAGTTTTATATTTTGGCAGATACACTGCTTCAGTTAAAGCAGCATTTTTGGAGGAATTTGGTTTGGTGCTCTTCGGCGCCAACCAGAGGGTCTGTGAGTGCAACTGCACTGTCGTAAAACACACTAAGTCTCGTTACACCTCCCAGTAGTCAACATGCATGTCCTCTAAAAACTCACACACTCTCATACACAGGTTTTATTATAGAGCAGTGGTTCTCTACTGGTGGGTCGGGACCCAAAAGTGGGTTGCGGAGCCATTTCTAGTGGGTTGCAAATGTGTGCCTGTAAAAATATTTTTGGGGCAAAAAGTCTGAACTTCACAATTTCTCATGACATATTAAATCAGATGTTTGGGTTTCAATTCTTCATAAAGGAGTTGGTGGTGGGTCCTCGGGCTATAGACCAGTTGAGAACCACTTTTTTAGAGTGTCAAAACATGCTTCCAGTTCCCTTACAGTGCAAATGCAGCACGCAAGTAGTGGTGTTTCAAAGGCTTTTGTACTGGTAGCTTTATATGATAGGGGATAGTTGTCCCCTATCATATAAAGCTTGAGATGTGCTTCCCCTGGAATCTTCAATAAAAGGGCATTTGACTGGGCATAACAATATCCTCTGCTGTCGTTTTTGGCTATGGTAGCATTTTTCGACAATGTAACACGTCTCGACATAACACCAGTTAAGACATTGTGAAAATCCAAATAAACATGTTGACTGAATATGTCCAGTATCAACTCAGTCTGGCATCTTCCACTTTTGATTTTGGTTTTCAGTTGACAGTTTTGTCTTGTTTGTGTCAGCCAGCGATCTTGGCCAGGTCCTAGGTTATAAACTCAGTGACATTGTTAAATAAAAGGAATTTATAAAGTAGAAGTACTGTATGTTATTGGTTTTGGCAGTTAGACATTTTCTGTGCACATTTTGCCAATACTCTGACATAAAACGACAGCACAGAGTGACTTCTGGGAATAAGTGAAGCGGCCAGTCTGTCAAGAACATATTTAATCCCCCTGAGGTATCCCGTAATCCCCAGTGACACCATTCTGTGGGGCTGAGGCATTTGGGAAATGGCAGCTTTGTGCATGAGTGAGACGCAAATGAGTAGTTGGGGACGTGGCTTGTCCAGATCCGAGACAGGAGACAACCCTCTATCCCGACGGGAGGTGTGAATGTCCTCATGTCAATCAGCTCAGTGTGCTGCTTTGAAGTATAGTAAGGCAGGTTGCAGACTGGATGGTAATTTTCAGAAGACGATGCAAATCCCTGAATGAGTTTGAACTGCATTGAACTGCCTGCTGCAACTTAGTTGGAGGACGGAGTGCAGCTGTTGGATGAAAAGGAACAAATCCTTGGGTGGAAATCCTTGAATCAAATCATCATTGGGTGGTCCGGCTGCTGTTTCAAATATACAAAAAAAATGAGGTTTTTGACAGAATGGGAGCTTCAACCAAAGCAGGGAGGACTACCCCTCTCGGTTATGCTGTGTTCATTTGCAGAGCAAAGTAGGAACCCCCATAGAAAGGTGCCTAAATGTTTTATTCATGCAACTAAAAATGGATTGTGTGGTGACAGAACCAGGCAACTGTCTTGTCATATGTACAGTAATAGCTCAACAGTGTGAGTGTGAGGGGGAGGGGAATAAGGGTTTGTCTTTTTTCTTTTCTTTTTTTAACATAAAAATGCTTTTCGCCCACGCTTTGCAAAGCAGGGAAAAGAGAGAACAGTTTTGGAATCTTTTCAGTGTACAACTAGTGAAGTGTAACATGA